AAGTCCAGCTGTCTTATTTGACAGCTGTTAAGTTAAACATAGCCTTAACTTCCCCCCCCCTACCAGGGCACGTGACACCCATTAAATGGGATCAAGTACAAGGGCTACAAAGCGTAAAGGGGTTGTCTTGTACTTTACACAGAGGAAGCTTTATTTTTCACAGTTCGCGTCAGCAAGCGCATAGAAGATGGGTTTTGCGAATCTACGATTAGCGGAACCGAGAGCGTTTAAGATATCGAAATGGTGCGTGGTTGTTCGCTCTCCTATGTCAAGGGTACATAATTGCAGGACAAACTATAATACGTGTCACTATCTCTTATGATAGAAACTGTCATTCTTCTCGATAATAGGCCCACGGATTTCCATAGCTTCGCAAATACTGATTCTCCGGTATTTCTAATACTCTCATAACGACTGTTAATGCCATGATTTGTTTCACAAAACTGAAGTTTTTGCCTCGTGACACTTATTGTGAGCCACGTCTTACAGCGTAGGGTGCAACGATGTACTATACTGTTGTGAACCTTCACCTTACAACATTGTACAATCGAACAGATGAGATATTGTACCATGGTACGATATTTACTTCGCCCTTTTTGTAATCGTGAAATATTCACAAGTATTGAAGTATCGGTATAAATGAAGACCCTATAAAAGAGAGGACGAAAAATTCTTCTCTGCAATCGTTAAAGCGGGCTCTCAGTGAATAGTGAACGGCATTGATTTCATCGATGAAATGTACAGAGCATGCGTACATCCAAATCAACTTGAAGCTTTGTAGTTGCAACAACTAAGAAGTATACTTACAACTGCTGAAACGAGGAATGCGCACGGTGAGGCCTTAAGGACCGTTCTGGCGCTTTTGAGTGGCATGCGGCAACGTAAGCTTCGATTCGGGTAGCTTTTGCACAGAAAAATTATCGTTTCTTCGGCCGTAACGTATGACTTGAGTCTAGAGCATAGAAACTCTAGAGAGCATGTACGTCGTGAATTATAGGATCACTCGAAAAATCTCTCGAAGCATGCGGCCACCGGACCCAAAAGGCAGAGGAACATGCGGCCACCGGACCCAAAAGTCAGAGGGACTGCATGTCAAGAATTTTTGTTGAAGTGAAATAAGGATACAACGGATGCTGTAATTCAATGGCGCCGCTGATAATACGTGTTAGGGAATGTAGCGTAAAGAGCTCAAAGCACAGGACGACGACGTAGTTGACAGCTTTTCTAGTTTGCAAACGAAATCATACGGGTTCAAGGCTACAGGTATAAATGTAGACATCAACTCGTTACCTGGTTGGCGTTTGGATTAATTGCTCAAGCGTCGTAAAAAATGACCAAATCCCACAGCAAAAATACTGCAGTTTTTGCCTGCGCCACGACATTGCGAATAAATGTGCGGCTTTGTATGCAGTAACACCAATAAAAGCATCCGCATCGACAGTGACCTACGTCATATCTCGCTTGTGTGGTGCTTTACTTTTTGACGTTGGCGATACATTCAGATACTTTTGATTCAAATTCCGCTAATAATCCATTTATTACCCTGTCATTAACATTTGTGTACAGTGGAAGCAGTTCCTATTTGTCGTGCGTTGCTCCTCTTTTTTACATTCGAAATTCGGAGAATGAAAGATAAGTATTACGGGTATTACATACTGACATAGAATCGTATAAGATCATGGATTTCAGTTGATTATGCAGTATGATTCAACAAGGACTAAATGTTCTGCTTGAGATGAAAGCGGTCCTATCAAAAACAAACATCATTGCTTGTTTTGTTGGCTTCTAATAGTAGTGAGGCCTTTGCCGCAGCAGCCTAATGTCAATCATTTTACTTGGTTGCAAAGTGCAATGTTGTGTAGCCATTTTCTTTGGCAATATATCACCAGACAAGACCGAAAAAGACAGGACGGCGCTGCACCCATGACTAATAAACACATTGAAAGCGCCACTACGAAAAAGTGAATGGATTGGATGCATTTATCAATGTTGAAATAGGCTACGAATCTGTTTACACAGCGCAGTTTTCTCCAGCGAGTGCAACTTCTGCAAGGTGTCTTCCGAGCTTTCTGAGCTAGAATATTCTGAAGCTTTTGGTGCTTTAGATGCAGTATCTATCGGATGCATTAATATATCTATCTAGCCAGAGCTACAGACAGATAGTTCGCGCAGGTGGCCGTAGGAAAAATCATCTAAAACGTCTAAACAACGATGCGATGGTTCTTTGTCCTGAATACGTGATGATTTTTTGAAGGATGGTTTCAGATCTTTCAACGACAGCTCTGTCCTGTCGTAGCGGTGATACAAATGTTAATCACTGTTTATTCCAAGTGATTTGCCGATGCGATTAAAATTCTGTTGCCAGAAACATTTTGGATTTTTTTCTCTGCAATCATCGTACAAGCACTTTAACTTGAAGCAAGCACTATTCTCGACTAAATCAAGTATATGTTCAACGAACAACATTGCTTCCGCTTTCACTTTGTTCAATATTGATTCAAACTTAAACATGTATCAGATAAAGCATTTAAAAATTTCAGTAGTGATGCTTCGACGGTGTGTCGTGCCCATGGCAAAAAATACATTTACCTTATGTTATCTATATCGGAATATAAAATGGGCCCTATTAGCTCTATTGTAGACTCATGATGTCTAGAGTATCACGTCCACGCTAACTTACGGGTCAATGACCTCGGATCATCCGGTTGCACAGCATTTTTTTCTACGGACTTCCTTGATCAATGGTAGGGCTTATCACACAATTGACCTAACTTCAAGTCGACAAGTCCAACGCTATGGTGATCATGTGTTGCTATTACAGCATTTGGTTGAGGGAGTTTAGCAGACCAAGCGGGCTCTTGATTCAAACACAATTCTATTTCCTCAGTAGTGCAATAGAACCAAACCTTTGTGATGAACATACATCTTATCACCTTACTCATTGCTATTGCCAATCTCTCGGCGAGAATCAAGGCTAGCCGATCGGCAGGTTGCCCATTCGGGTACGCCGTTTTAGTCAGGGGACAGGATCGGCAAATTTCCAACAAATTCGACGGACTTGAACACTGTCAAATGATCAACTATGACGCTGTCAAGACTGATCTGTTGAAGTTAATGACAGACTCGCAAGATTTTTGGCCTGCTGATTTTGGTCATTATGGTGGCCTCTTTATTCGTCTGGCGTGGCACTGCAATGGATCGTACCGTCGTGCTGATGGCCGTGGTGGCTGTGACGGTGGTCGTATTCGCTTTAATCCCGAACGCAGCTGGAATGATAACACAAATCTGGACAAGGCACTGAGACTACTGGAACCGATTAAGGCCAAATACGGCGACACACTATCGTGGGGTGATTTAATTGTACTGTCGGGTGATGTTGCTATTCAGAGTATGGGAGGTCCCATATTGGGTTTCTGTGGTGGCCGTCGAGATGACGTTGATGGCACGAATAGTCTTGAGCTGGGTCCGACACCCGAGCAGCAAAGTGTGGCACCGTGCACAAAGGAGAGTCAGTGTCAGAATCCTCTGGGTACGACGACACTGGGACTTATCTACGTGAACCCCGAAGGCCCGATGGGCAACTCAGACCCGGTCGGCTCAGCCGCACAAGTCCGCGACACGTTTGCACGCATGGGAATGAACGATCGCGAGACAGTTGCTCTTATAGGTGGAGGTCATGCATTT